GAAAAGTGAAAACTTATTAGTTCGTACGAGTTCGTTAAAAAGCATTATTCTCTTGCCGTTAGTCGTAACTACGCGAGTATTACAGTTAGTTACAACTTAATAAAATTTTAGTATTGATACAGACTACTCAATCCACCTCGTAATTACCACAAAATACGCCTGGTTCAAACTTTGAAATGTCAAAGGAGTTCGAGCTGTCCCATTTGGAAAAGAATCGGGGCAATCAGTTTTCATTCTCCTCGTCCGACCGATTCCACGGTCGCTCGTTTCGCTATTATTAATTTCCCCACAAGATTTCCCACAGGTTTGGCAAAACCGTGACGAATCGCCGTCAGCCAGCGCGACGTGTAAATCCAAAAATCGACGACGAGCTCCGAAAAACTCGTTTCGTCTCGTTTCATTCAAGGGATCCGGTGACTGTTTCCTTCACGACTCCGGGGCTCTGTCTCGCTTCTCCTCCGTGCTCTATGGGAGTTAGACACGCTTGCCTACTTCGGGCAGTATCTATGGGTGGGCCCAACGATGGCGTTCGACGCCTACAGCCGCGCGGCTGTTTCATCAGAGAGAAACAGCGGCCAGGTAGGCCCGTGAACATCGGACACTGCTCGAGCTCTCCGCAGGCGTTTATTTGCAAGCGTGACTCTGGGTCCGATCGATTCGCGATACTCCGAAACGCTCGCCGCTCTCTTCCACTCGCTCCTACCGTACCACTCGTGAAACGCGCGCGCGCGCTCTTTTCCCGCTCTCGCCTCTTCAAACAACGACTTTTTGCACTTTTTGCATTTTCTCGACGAAAAATGCAAACAAAGTTGCTACGTTTCTTGCGATTCTTCTCTGTTCCAGAAGAGGTTCTGTTTTAGTGAAAATTCAGCGTAGATACTTGAGAGTTCGTAAAATAACGCCAAAACATCGTCAGACACGTGAAATCAAAAAGTTCGTCCACGTTTCAGAATTAATGCATGGAGAAGATTGTGTAGTATCCGTATAATCCTGAAGGGGTTTGTTTGAAGATTGCGGATATAAAGATATTCTTTTTGTACCAAATGATCGACAAGGAAGGATGAAAAGTAAGAGCGAAAAGATATCTGTGGAAAATTTTCACTGTAACGGGAATTTTGAACGACCGATATACAAGCTTCCAGAGGAAAGACCTGCTAGAAAAGAAAATAGAAGGAAGAAAAGACGATATTTGCTGAAACTCGAAGTAAAGGATATCCACTATCGAGCAGACAGCAAACGGTTGCCATATAGTCACGCCCATCGATACTAATATATCGCCGCGGCTGCTACCGACCGGACCTATTCTACTGAAACGACCGAAACAAGCTGTCTCGACAGAAGTGGAAGCGGTCCAATCTAGGATTCTCGACGGTTCTTTGCTGTTCTCTGTCCTCGAGACGGTCGCCCTAAGGCGACGCATTTAAATTATGAATTATACAAGAATCGGCGAAGAGTGTGCCAGTTTAGAAAGCGTGCCAGCCAAACGGCCAACGACGACTCGACATATCGGTTTCGAGTCGGCTATACGTACGAGTTTTAATCTCGTCCCTCCCATCGTTCCCCCCGGAGTGGCGGACGTTTCAATCTCGCCGAAAAGCGATCATCATTCGTCCATGCTGAAGAACAGTCGTTTCCTCGTCGGGCAAAAAACTTAAACGTCCACCATTTTCAAACCGTTTAAGTCCCCCACCATTCCCTTCTACGAACGCGTCGGATGAAGCTGTCGACGGGAGCACACCACCGTAACTAATACACGCATACGTACTCGCGATATATAAGTCATTTCTCGCAATTTGACGTGTCGTTCAAGCGGCTCGCCCCGAGGGAAGCTCCGGATACTCCATCATGCTGAGTTACATAAATCTCTTCATTGAATGACCCTAATAATTGGCAGAGGGATATCGATGGCGGGGCCTGCTCTTCCGGAATGGTATTGTCGGTCTAGTTTGAGGCAGGTTTCTGCCTAGAAAAGAAACACGCGTACCCTCTATTGTTGTGGTTTCTCTTTGTGCCGACTTGATCGAATCGCCTTCGTACACGTTGCACGAATTAAAAACCTTCTCCCTCTCGTGTATTTCCTTTCTACACGTTGATACATTAAAATCACGTATGACTGCAGGGCTGCAGATGTTTACGCATTTTTGGGGAATCTGAATTCACAGAGAATTTATTACATAATAATCGAAACGATATCCAAAGCACTTTAGAGTATTTTCTATATTTACGAAGATGACAAGGACTTCTAAATCCAGAGATCTTTTGAAAAAAGAGTGCGAAAGTGGAAATGATCAGAGATGCCTCCGCCTAGAAAAATCGTAGATGTGTCCGCGATAGAGTTCGGTCGTCAGGTAGCGGTCGATATTAACCGCAGTTCACTGTGCGCTCACTGCTCGGTTGCAATACGACGTCGTAAATTCCTTGTATATTTCCTGTTGCGGTTACCGCCGCGTTTTCAGCCGGGGCAGTTGCAGCCGAGGCAACATGGCGACGTGTGGAGTGATCCGGCTAATCGACGGGGATACGATTTTCAAAATTACCCTTTCAACAGAGAGAGCCTCGTAACGTTCGGCAATAAACGTCTCTTTTTTACTCGCTGCGCGTACCCGGCGTCGAACTGCCGCGTTTTTCTTTTTACTCGTCATCACCGAGAGCCGTAAGCGAACCGAAATCGAGTAACGTTCCAAGCCAGTCAGGTTGCTGGCAACGACGAAAAAGAGGATCCCACGTTAAAGGCACAAAACTCGAAACTGCAATTTCGAAAGAAAGTAGCGCGTGGCAACTGGCGACAACACGAGGCCTCCGAGTGTCGACGCGAGCGGCCTCATCCTTCTGACCTACGAGCCGCGGCAGAAGAGCCGCATTCAACTCGGTAATTGTAAGGCTCGGGGTGGTCAAACATTCGAAATGTCCCGGTTGTACAAAAGCCAGCGGCGCAGCCCTGCCAGTCAATTCCAACTCCATTTAGGCTCCATTTAGCTCGAATCAGTTTCACTAACCACTTTTCGAGAGGGAAGGAGGGGACGAAGGATCGTTTGCTTCCTTCTTTCCATACAGGCCATTCAATGAAAAGAAACGACATACAACGTTGTGGATTTTCGTCAACCATCGACGATCCTCGAGCGGTCTTTTGTACGGCGCATCCTCCGTGACGTTTCATCAATTTTCCGTTCCGGCTCGCGCCTCACACCGCCTCTTTCCCCGCTTGTTTGACACGACCCAACATCTCGTCGAGGTAGGGTCGTTCGTTCGTTCGTCGATCGGTGCTACGCGACCGAGCCCTCTTCTCTCTCCTCCACCGATCTTCGCCGAGAGTTCGTCAAGCCAACAACGACATCGACGCGGATTCGTCATGCTCAGGGAGCGTGATTCGTCCTCGCCAGCCACTGAATAGTCGTTGATGACTTGATATTTCGAACGTGAACCGGTGGAACCGACGACCGATTCTAGGCGCCCGTATTACCCGGGAGACACGTTTTGTTCGCGGCTCTTTTTTTAATCTAATCGAGGGACGAGGAAAGAAGAGAACGATGTTTTAATATAGATTAAAACGGCACGTTTCGATGAGTTGATTTCAATTTAGCCACGTCAGGGCCTGGAACACCGGCGTGACGCGATCAACTTCCGTTTCTTTTAGATCATGCGACAGATCCCTGTGAGAACCGATTTTCGAATAATAATATCTGCCAAGAAGCCACCGTGCCAAGTCACTTCTCTTCGAATTTCGCAAGTTTTGCTAAATTTCGAGTGTTTGAAATTGTTAACTTCTCTTATAAAAAAAAAAAAAAAAAAAAAAAAAAAAAAATTTTTTTTTCATTTCACACACACCGGTAGTTCACGTATCGAACTCGGTTTGAACTCGCGCGTCGATAAGGTAGGCTCGAAGTGTTGATCGATCGATCCGCACTGGCGCGCCGTACACGCACGCGTCACGACGATCGATCGAAACGACGGAGATCGGGCGTCGTGGCGCGTCCATCGGGCGCATTCACGTAAGTACACCGAGTTTCTACAAATGATTGAGAAATTAACATAAAAGATTGAGAAAAAGAGAAAAAAAGAAAAGATACAGTAGAGAAAAAGATGAGACCTCTCCGAGCGTGTTAGCGAAAAAAAAAAAAAAAAAAAAAAAAAAAAATAGTACGCGAGTGCACTCGAAAGAGGCTGTCCGATCATCATTTTTCCTCTTTTTTTTTCTATTTATTAATTACAAATCAACTCAAATTCTCGATATTTGATATTTATAAGCGAAGAAAGTAACGCTGTTTTAATATCCACGTACATAATTGAATGTCTACGTGTAGTGTTATGCTCGAAACAAAAAGCTCGAGACAGCTCTTTCGATGCAGTATACAAAGCAACTGACTTTAACACAGATATATAAGTTTAGGCAAAAGAAAAAAAAAAAAAAAACAAAAAAGAGAGAGATCTAAGGAAAGAAAGTAAATTATTTTTAAAAAGAGATATTTCTCTATCTTTAAAAGAAAAGAAAAAACAAGGTAAAGATCGTAACGTAACAATCATATTCGTAAATTAAAAAGAAATTAATAATAATAAGAAGTAATCATAATCACAGTAATAATAATGATGATAATAATAATAATAACAACAACAATAATAATAATAATAATATGAAATAAAAAAAAAAAATGTTCGCTTTGTGCCGATGGTAAAATTCGTAACCGCAACTTTCTGACTTGGCAAACCATTTTGCCCTCTCCCCTTTCTCTCTGATTGTTGGGTTACCATCTCCGTTGTAATGGAATGGATATGGCACGTGGATTGGTCACTATGGTCTCGACTGGGCGCTCGGATCGGGTGGTTCGATGATGACCGATGACGATGATGTATCCCCCTACTTCCTCCCCACCGACACACTCGTACGTGTTCGTCCGTGCTTACACACGTCCTCTGCCGCGTGTTACACGGGTCTCCGCTCTCGTGGTGGTGGTGGTGGATGACGGTGTGTGTGGCGATCGGTTGACGCGACGACGGCCCATGGGATGTGGTGGACCCGCCAACGTCACTTCTCTCCTCGACCACAATGGGATCTACCTGCGCAACGTCAACAACCTACGACGACGACGACGACGACGACGACGACCACTACTTTGTCGGTGGTGGCCATCGACCACGACACCACACGCAACACACGAACGTCATCTATGGTTCAATCAACTGTTCGTCGAACTGGTGAATCGTCGATCAACGGCCTCTCTATCCACGGTGGCTCTCTCTTCGTTACGTAACCGAACACACGGGACCGACCAATGTGATCCGGACCGACCAAACGGTGCACTCCACACCACTGATTGGGTCCTCTGTTGGCATGCGCCGCTGATACCGATTCCGCCGGCCCATATGTAGAGCCCACGACCGCCCTCCGTCGAGGACGACGAAGACGGCCACCTTGTTTACCAATCCGGGGACATCCTGGCAAATAGATGTTCGTGAATACGTGAATACAATAATTGTAGTAGATTTTAAGCAAGCCTCAGATCGATTGGTCGATCGATCGATCGGATCGGTTACCCACGGTATCTGCCCAATGGTCTCTCCTTGGCTCTCGCTCATCTCTACTTCGCCTCTCCTCCCCCTCTTGCTCTCGAACGTCTGCGTCTTTTTAGAGACGGTCCTGTTGGACCTTCGTACTCGTCGAAGGTTTACTTATTTCGTGAGTTCTTCGTCAACTAGAGTCTCACATTGATAACTCTTCGTTTCTTCGTTTCTGTACAGTTGTTGCAACGACCTCGACGACTTTTTTCATAGTTTCTCTACTTTTGAGAATTCCTCCTTTTTCATGAGAAGTGGTTCGAGACTTCTCAAATCAACGTAGGTTAGAAAGTAGCTTCTATCTTGATTTCTAAACGTTTAACATTGTAGATTTGTTAGAAAGTTCGGATCACTTGTAATTTACCTTTACAAATATTCATCTCGATCGAGTAGCCTAACGTTGTAATTAACTTAAAACGTATAAATCTGACACTGCTTCGAACATGTTTGAACCATCTCAAACACGTTCAATGATCTCTCTTTACCACCTTTTCAACTATCGTCTAAGTCTTTTTCAGTATTCTTTGCCTCAATTACCAGTACTCTGGACTTCTTATTTACCTCTGTTCAGGGTTTCTTATTAACTGTACCAAAGCGTTCCCATCTTGCACGTATGTAGGTCTCCTCTATAGTAAACTGTAAACGCGTCCAATGTCTCAGAGAGTGGTGCTAATTTTCTCTTCTCTTTCGCTCGGTGTTCGTTCGCGCGATTGAAAATCGGCAAACTCCGTTGTGGAGCCAGATGGAGAGACAGAGAGGCGAAGGAAGGAGGAGAGACAAAGAGAGATCACGCTTGCGCTATCTCCTCGATACCGTCTTCTTCGGGATGACGTGTTCCTCTGTCTTTGAACAGGCGCACGAGGACATTAGACATTCGCTCTCATCATCCCTGGCGACTTTTTCTCGATCGTCCGCCCCCTCGGGGCCCAACTGCGAAAACTACGAAAATATCACTCACGACTTGTCACCTGTGCATCGGGACTCGATAGCCAATGTCATGTCCTCAGGCTGCCGATTTTTTTACGATTAGGGTACCTCAGCTTTTAGGAGAACAGCAGTTCCGATCGATAAAAACATAAAGCTCTATGATACCGTTTTTTTCACTTGAATCATACATCCGTTCACAACGTACGGCGTACAGAACACCTGTTCCGTCCGAACGTCCAGCAGGAAGTGCGTCTGTATTGCTCTTCTCTTTTTCTTTTTTTTTTTCTTTTTTTTTTCAAATCATTAGATTCAAACTCTTTGAAATCTTTTGCCTCGATGTGCACCGAGAAAGATTGATCATCAACGAGGCGAAAGAATATGCCAAATAGCTCGTCGATAATGATAAATTGCGTCCGAGCATTAGAGATTAGGGCCTTCATGGAGCAACATAGACGATCTTCCATGGACGCGAGGTCTTTGACGTACCCGGCCGCTCATCTATCTTTTTACATTGCAGATAAAGTACTGGCCACCCTAGGAGAGGGTACTTTTGGAAAAGTTGTCAAGGTTAAGGACTTGCAAATGTAAGTTGGTAGCTCATGTATCTACTACCGTAGGTGAACCTACCTCGAGTCTGCGTTTTTTTTTTTTTTTTCTTTTTTCTTTATACGCAGTCTTTGTTTTTTTTTTCCACCCCCCTTTTTTGTATGCAAAACGATTTTTTGAGTTGATGTATTAATAAGTTCTTTCTTACTGTGTACGTTAAAAATTTTGTTCCAGGTTTCGGGAGTTTGTGATGGAAGTGTTCGTGGAGCGACGTAAGGAAATAATTGAATTCTCTTTCTAAAGACAATGCTGTTGTCTTGAAGTGGGGAACGCGTGTTTTCTATTTTCGTGGAAGGTATTTGCTCATAAAAGTAGAAATATATTGTTTGGTTCATCGTGTTCAGGGAAAAGAGTCTGTTCAGTTACTAGTCAGAATGGTCAATTGGCAATATTTAATGGAAATTTTATAGAGTGAATTTTATAAAATGAAATAAAAGCTCGCTTTCGTGATGTTATAGTTCTAATGTTAATCAAAATTGCACAATCATCTGCTAATAATATTACTTAATCAACGAGTGATGCAGACTTCTGCTGCATAAATAAATTCCAGAATTTTATATGAACTATAATTCATATAAAAAAGTTATTCGTATTAATTTATTATTACCAGTAACTTGTAAAATTTGTTAATAACAATAATTCATTATTATTTCATGCATTTGTATCTAGTACAATTGTGTGATCAAACATGTTGATCACCTGCAAGATTCAAATTGGCAACGAACTTCCAATATCTGTTTCTAGTTCTTAATTACTCTTAAATATTCGACATATTCAGTAATTTCTGAACATGGTTCTCTAATAAATCACCCAAAAAACTCTTGAACCAAATAACGTGTCATTAACTTCGCGAGCAAAGTGCTGGCACAAAGATAGCATAACACTTTAGAAAAGGAATTCAGTTATTTCCTTTGCTCTCTCCAGCGAATTGTTCCAATAACGAATCTCCACAACGTGAAACGAAAATTTACGGACGTGTATAAAGGAACTTGTTCTACATTTTAGTGTCAATGTGACTCACGGGTTTGCCCTGTGGTGCTTATCCAAATCTACTTTGCCCTCCTCTTCACGTACCTCCTGATTTCCATTTCCGGAATATACTTTCTCGTTGGTCTCGGAACTTTCTATCCACCTAGAACGGCAACATGCACCGAGGCAAGTCGCAAAGGTGCGTGGCGCGACTCGAGTCATAGCAGAGTCAGAAATAGCCGTGCCGTAGTGTCACAAAATGACGCGCAAGTAGTCGCAATAATAGGATGGCCTTGCACTTTGTTTTACGGGCCTCGACGAGCGAACGAGTTGTCATGAAGTCGCTCGTCGGGATACCAACCAGGGGAGAATTTCTTTGAACCATCTTCTTTTCTTCTTCTTCACATTCTTCCTTTCTCTTGTGCTTTCCATTCTCCTCCCCTCCTCCGTTGCGTTTCGAACGAGCGCGCTTTTGTTGCCTGGTACATACTACAATACTTACATATGATGCTTCCGACCATATGGATTATTGGCGGTCCGATGTACGTGTCGTCTAATAAAAGTACAATGACGTTTGCAGGGATCACGTGATGGCGCTGAAAATCATTAAGAACGTAGAGAAGTATAGGGAAGCCGCAAAGCTCGAAATAAATGCCTTAGAGAAAATTGCGACCAAGGATCCGGAAGGCCAACAGTTAGTATTTGCGTGATTTCTCGACCTGGTGGGGACTCTGGACCGCGGCGAACAGAGGGCGATTCTTCGTGTAAAAATAAACTGAAAACTCTGGGGCGAGATTTTCGCCTACACCATTCCTTTTTATGCATATATATATATATTTTCAGTTTTAATTTACTTTGGACGTTTTGATTTAACTTGAGAATATGAGGAAAAATTGTTAAAATCTGCACTTAACTGTAATTTTCCTTTTTTTTTTTTTTTTTTATCAAAGACTTTGATACCCAAAAAGGTATGTAAATAGAACGTTTATCTCTTACACTGTGTTACAGCGTATGAAAGATGAATCATCGTGTTATTAAAAGCAACAGTGTTCAGCAAATAAAACCAGAGTATGATTCGACTGAATATGAGCAAGAAATTAGAAAGATTTTGACTGAAGCGTTGAAATTAGCGTTACGAAGCAAATTAGAGTTAAACTAACTTACACGCAAATATAATTTTTCTCGTATGAAATTTCCAATATCTAATTTACGTGAAATGAATTTGTACTTACTTAAAAAGAATCGTCTTCTATTTTCTCGCACCGTTTTTCCTGCCTACTTTCGTATATATTTTTACAAATGACGTACTCGTTTCTTATGTTCAACTAATGACGTTCGATCCGTTATTTTCAGCTTGTGCGTGAAAATGCTTGATTGGTTTAATTATCACGGACACATGTGCATCGCCTTCGAAATGCTTGGACTTAGCGTATTTGATTTCCTGGTATGTAACAGCATGTTTCTAAAATAGTGCGCATTAGTGATCCATGCTCTAACTATTTTATATTTACAGAGAGATAATAGTTACCAGCCTTATCCATTGGAACATGTCAGGCATATTGGATATCAACTTTGCTACGCAGTCAAATTCTTACACGATAATAAACTCACGCACACCGATTTGAAACCGGAAAATATACTATTCGTAGACTCCGATTATGACAGCATATACAGTAGCAAAAAGGTGAGGCACGATTTGCTTCTTCCATGTTAACATGGAACAATTTATTATAGTGTCACTTGGAATGTTCATTATATTTATAATATTTGCAATGAAATTAATAATTTCACTAGACATTGGTGTCGGAGAAAGAAAGACTACAATACATCAAATTGCATTTTATCTGTTTATATATGCAAAATTTGTAAAAACTAAAAAAGCAAGATTAATTTAAAACATTTTTGGAAAAACTTGTTCATTAGAGTGTGACTATCTGCTTCCAATTCTTGCATACTGATAGCCGAATTTTCATTTTATTAGTAACAGTGAATTAGTAATGCATAACGTTGCGTGATTCCAAGTGACACTTGCACTGCGTCAATCAACTATAGATAAAATGTATGACCGAGTGTCGTGTTCTTAAGTTTGTAAAAGAAGTTCCTTCTTTTTAAGCGGAGAGACATTAGGCGTGTAAAACGGACAGACATCAGACTCATTGACTTTGGTAGCGCAACATTCGACCACGAGCATCACAGCACGATCGTTAGCACACGACACTATAGAGCGCCTGAAGTAATTTTAGGTGAGTGACATTCGTAAAATCAGCTCGCTCCCGAGTTGCGAAATTTCTATTCATTACGTGTTTTGTACAGAATTAGGATGGTCTCAGCCTTGTGACGTGTGGTCAATTGGCTGCATCCTCTTCGAATTGTACCTGGGTATTACCTTATTCCAAACGCACGACAACCGCGAACACCTAGCGATGATGGAACGTATACTTGGCACGATTCCGCATCGTATGGCCCGCAAAACTAAAACTAAATATTTCTATCACGGCAAGTTAGACTGGGACGAAAAGAGCTCAGCCGGTCGATACGTTCGCGACAATTGCAAACCTTTGCATGTAAGTATATATTACTATTACTTGTCTAAGCATAGATTATGTAATTGTAAAAATTCTTACTTTCCTGTGTTTGTGCGCTTTTTTGTGTAAAAACGCTTCAATTCAATCATTAACTTACATTTTCTTTTTGTACGTATAGCGTTGTATGCTTTCGGACGACGAGGAACATCGACAATTATTCGATCTGATCCAAAAAATGTTGGAGTACGAACCATCTCAGCGAATAACACTGAAAGACGCATTGGCACATCCTTTCTTTGACGCATTGCCCGCGCATCAGAGACTGCCGGATCTTCGAGCAGCTGGCGATTCTCAACAAAGTCACGAACGATCACACTCTCTCTCACGATGAAGCTAGGAAAGGGACCGACTTCCGTGCTGGACAGACACCCCACTGTCAACGACGCTACTGCCTTACGTCGCTGTTTCCACACCTTTGAATCATATAAGACTGTATCTTTGCGGCAATAACAAGATTCGATGACGTAACCCGAATATCTAAACGAATCAGATTAAACGAAGAGACAAAAAGAAGAAAGGAAGAGAGGAAAATTAGAAATTTCACTAGGGTATATGTAATTATAAATTTGTTAGTAACGGAAGCTGATGGAGACCGCAAAATCGCATTGTTTATTGAAACGACGTAAAATAAAAAAAAAAAAGATCAACGCAGTAGTGCAATGGTGCTGTGGAATTTAGATTCGACGTAATTTATGATAGAGATCATCGAGAATCTTTGCGTAAAATGATACAACTCTTTTTGCGAGATTTTTAAAATTGGTACGTGATACCACTTGATGAGGTAGGTCCCTGTTAAACTGGTTTGTTAAAAGACCAGTGTGTCTGCTCAGTGTAGCGTAAGAGTCCCGCCACTTATAAACATTTTCTAAATGCTCTTCTGTACATTTTATCCTTTAATTTTATTACAATGTTATTATGCAACAAAGTTTGGAAGAGGGGTCGCAGTTTATACTCTGTTTGTCATAGATTGATGACCACGGCGTGTTTAGTAGTTAAGAAATCAGATTTAGCATTAAGAAATAAGTAAATATACGCGTACGTGTTGACATTAATTAAGATTAACAAAGAAGAGAAAATGAAAGCGAGAAAGGGAGGGAATGTGTGAGAGAGAAATCCATGGAACGCCAATTCACCGTAGTAAAATACACGTGTTGACGTTTTTAGGATACGTTATATACGATTTACTTTAAAAAATCCTATAAAGTATTTTTTTTTTCCTCGAAAAATTTCTTGTATAAAGACAACGCAAATTATGTTTCTTTTGTTTTTGATTCAGTATAATATCCAAACTTCGTGCATTGTCTTACGATATTACAGACAATCATGCGTATTTTAAGTTCCGCTAGCCCGAGAAAGTTAAAACGAATCGATCATTTTCTAAATACGCGCGTGTCGCACGTCTTTTAGAAAAGAACCGTGAGCTTACGTACCTAAGAACGTCTCCGCTTTTATTTAATAGAGAGATAAGTTCTTCAAAATACGAAGCCTCTTCATCTTGTTTGCCTCTTTTAGTTCTTATACTCGTACATACGACATGACGAAGTTTACCACATCCTGCTGCTCGTACAAACTACAAAATGGAATATGTCTGAGCACTGCGAAAAAAAAAAACAAAAAAATGCTGTTTCGGGTAGCAATAAAATACATTTCTTTCAAATAATTATTTGAAATTTATTTTTCGAACCAAGTGAATCAAACACTTCATCCCAATAATTTAAGTTGGTCGGATACATTGTATACAATATCTAACATCTATGAGATATTTTTTTACAACACACATTCATACATATTGCTCATACATACGCACGGAAAACATAAAAAGCTATTACATACGAGCCTGCTCAACAGGCTCTCACAACACCATGCCGAATAAAAAAAAAAAAAAGAACCTCGTGCACATCTGCAGAACCAATTTAGTCAAATTTCATCGAAATAAATTTGCATATAAAGTGACGATGACGGATTTTCAATTTGAATTACAAGAATTACAAGAATTACAATTTAGGCCACGGATACACTGGAGGAACCGATGATTTGTAACTTGTATCGTACAACTGCGCCGTAATGAATTCTTTATAGTCTTTAGGCTGAGGATGAACCGTAGCAAGACCTGAAATAAAATCAATCATTCTGGTGCATACTATAATCGCTGGATACAACAGTAAAAGTGCTGAAAAGTTAAAAAGCCTTACCAGTGTCGTAACCATACTCCATCACCTCACTGGCTATCGTCAAAGAACATTTCTTAATATCTTGCAGCGGTGGATACAAGTTTCCTTTCTCCAGGTCATCTTCGGAAACCATGTCGGCCAACGTCTTGGCAGCAACGAGGAATGTATCTTCAGGAATGGTGCGCATACCGCAGCATATTACGCCCAACGCTACTCCAGGGAAGATGTAACTGTTATTTCCCTGGCCAGGATAGAAGGTCTTTCCATTGTACGTTACCGGCGGGAATGGCGAACCACTGGCGAATATGCATTTACCCTGTGAACATTTGAAATTAATTACTAAATGTTTTATCGTTTGCACATTGCAGTACATAAATATTTTGTCTTTGTGCTATCCAGTAACGGAGTTTTATAATAGTTCTGTGATAATAATACCTTTGTAGCGGTATACGCTTGCTCGGCAGTACATTCTGCCTTGCTTGTTGGGTTGCTAAGAGCAAAGATTACAGGCTTCTCATTGTTATTTGCCATTTCCACCAGTATCTCGGTGGTGAACGCACCGCCAACTGCCGCGGCACCAATGAGCACCGTTGGTTTCGCCACTTTCACAACTTCCAGCAACGTGTTTACCGGCGCGTGATCACGGGCAAAGCGCAGTTTGTGTTCTGTTAATCCACCGCTTGGACGATCCTTGACAATTAATCCTTTCGAGTCGACCATCCAGATCTTGCTCTTGGCTTCTTCCTCGCTGACACCTTCTTTCTGCATGGCCATCACGCACAACCACGCAATACCCAACGAAGCCTGTGCAATTCAACGAAACGTCGTGATACACCGTCGATTAATAATTTAAAACAATATAAAGTAAATCGTTTACCTCTCCAGCACCTTGAAAGACAATCGTGTTCTGCGACAGCTTTGTATTCGTCACACGAAGAGATGCCAGCAAACCAGCCACAGCGACTGAAGCAGTTCCTTGGATATCATCGTTAAAAGTGCAATAGTGATCGCGATATTTACTGAGCAGCCTGAACGCATTGGCGTTTCCGAAATCTTCAAACTGAATTAAAGTGTTCTGTCCGTATCTTTTGACGACAGCCTGCATAAACTCGTCCAGAAATTCGTCATATTCCTGACCAGTGACACGTTTATGCTTGTGGCCAATGTAGAGAGGATCTTCTAATAGAGTCTGGAATGGGAGTTAATATTAAATCATCTTGTTAAATACTAATTTTAATTACAATTTATTACTTATTTATATATTATATTATATTTATAATTTATATTTGTGTATAACTAAGTAGATATGTATCATATTTTGAAAACTTTCTTTCTTCTTTTATTTAAAAAGTAATACCTTGTAATAATCTGTACTGATTGACCGAATTCGGGATTCAATTTTGTTTGTTCAATCAAGATAGAAATTTCAACAATAAGAATTAACACAATCTTTCATATAAACTCACATTCGATATATATAATTTACATATATAGTTTATACTTCTTTCATTACTGTCAGAAATATTTTCATTTATTAAGAGTTGATTGCCACATAATTAACACATTCATAATTTGCTAGCCCATATAAGCTAGAGGCCTTGATTGTGTTAATTATTTAGAAGCTTTTGTACCAACCTGAGTGTTCGTACCAACATCCAAGGTAATTGGTAAGCACTGACTAGGTTTGATTCCAGCCAGGGCGGTATACAAAGATAATTTTCCAACTGGTATGCCCATACCATAGGCTCCTAAGTCACCCAGGCCCAATATTCTTTCACCATCGGTAACAACGATGGCTCGTACATCGTGTTCAGGCCAATTGCATATAACGTCATATACATGGCCTTTGTCATGTATGCTTATGAACAGACCTCGTGGTCTTCTATAAATTAAACCGAATTTCTGACAGGCTAAACCCACTGTCGGCGTGTACACCAGCGGCATCATCTTCTCTACATTGTCTCCCAACAGACGGTAGAAAAGTTTTTCATTTCTATCCTGTAAGAGTGATAATGTTTTTTCCAATAAAATATCGGAGTTTCTCCTAGGTACAGTGAGGAACGGTTGTGGTAAAATTAAAAATATAGAACAACTTCTTTACATTCCATTTTCTTTGGATTGCAGTTTAAATTCTTTGAATTAAAAATTTAGAATGTTATACTGTTTGCAGACTGTGTTCTTTGAATTCAGAATTTTTCAAATCAAGTTGTCGATAGAGGTATAAAATATTAATTAGAGTACGTACCAGTAAACCTATGAGGTATATGTACTTTGACAAATCATTCTCGTAACGATCCAGATTCAAACGACAGAGTTCTAGTTGTTCTTCTTGAGTTTTCACCGCTGCTGGCAATAAACCATGAATACCCAATGTCTGCCTCTCCTCAAGAGTGAAGGCCATTCCCTGTAACAAAGAATTTATTTGTTAAATACTGCGAATCTCTATTTTAGACATCTCATGCATATATTTCTGAATGTTACATGCATTTTATGCATCTCTGCTTCTTCCAAATTTTCATTAATGCATAAATTTTCAATAATTCAGCTATTATTATTATTATTATTATTATTATTATAAAAGATACTATAAATAACAGATATACTACAAATAATATAATATTATAAAGGCCATTATAAATCATTACTGTCTTACATCTCAATCTAATCTACGTATTGGGCGAAGAAGTTGGGTTTGATTGGATTTTTTTGTCACTTGTCAAGAATAGATTCGACTGCTCGAATGTAAAGGTTGAACTATACTTGCTGCCTTGGTGATCTGACGATCCTCAAATGACTTGAACTCGCTCGCTGAACTTTCTTTCTGAATTGAACTATTCTTTGTGTATCGGCCTTATATTACTTTATCCCATAACGTAATTTAAACATACTTTTTGGGCCCAACGATACCGCCTAGGGATGCGTTCCTCGCATTAAGATTTTATATACTGATTTTTGTCCCTTTAATAGAATCAAAGTTTTCTTTGCAATAAAGAAACTTGTTGAGTTTTGGAATTTGGAGTCATACCAATTCTAAGGCTCGATGAATTTTATATTCACATTAAGGTTTTAGGATCCCCATGTTCGGTAAGACCGAACAATTATTATAAAGATAACAATTATTATAAAGATAGTTTAACACTTTGTTTCTTTCATTGATTTCATTTAATTCAAAATGATAGCGGTATCATGTAGTATATATTGAACGAATGCAATAAATAGAGCAATGAATCATAGGGACGGTCTAATATATCTTGACATTGATAGAAATTATTCCATTATTGTCTAGAGTGGGTTAATGAGAAAATTCCTGTCAGCGAGTAGTGAACGTGAGTGAAAGCCAATCAGCTGTTCTTCTGATTGCCTTCTGACTGACTTGACCTTACATCATGCAGCTTTAAATAACATTCGATGTTTGCAGGCCTAAATATGACGTGATCTATTAAAATAATTTTGTTTAAACTCTCTCGTGGAAGAGAGAGTTTAATATTTTCGATATTAGAGGAAAAAATATTTTTGAAATTATGAAAGTGATTGATTTTTCATTCGATTCCATTTGCAAGTATGATCGGGAACGATCGACCAATTGAAAGCTACTTAAATTCAACCGAGTCAGCACGGATATCTTGTTCGAGTAGACAAGAAAGGTGTCGCGATGACGAACGTCGTCGCAGTCGCATTATGTAATTGCTTTTTATTGATTTTTATTTATCGAAACTTATATTTATGTATGTATCATCAAGGCCAAGAAGGCAAAGCTTTAGAGAAGCAACCAAACGAATGAAAGTTTGAATTCTAGAATTGGTAGAATAGTTGGCACGACCAAGTTCATAATTCTTTAATTAATTTCAATTTAATTTTTCATAGAAATCTTGTGATTTTGTTATTAATCTTTTGATTTTCTTTACAATTTTCATACGCAACTTTTAAGGATTTGAACATGCAGGTAAAAGCTTTCATTTCAACTTCTTTAATAAACAAATCGAATAAATAATCAATGCAAATTATATAATACAATTTATTATCATTTCGCAATATTTAAATATTTTATAACATAATGTAAAATTATAATATCATAAATATTATAATATTCGTATAATATTTGTTGCAGAATTTCAAGTTTCCATGTATGTAGCTTTTTAAACGGCGATAGCCACTTTGTTGTAAATTTTGTTTAAACGGCGATAGCCACTTTGTCGTCCGATAGTAATTAACGAAATAATTATGCATTCAAAAAGTATCGTATTAATTAAGCTTTCATACGTCAATGAATGCAACGTTTCTAAAATAACAAGTTATTAGATATCATACGATATCATATCAATAGTTTATTATTAGTTTAAGAATATTAATTAATACAATATATATGTACAATTATTATACGAGTATCATATAATGCACAATGTATCGTGTATTTTCATAAAATGCAAATAATTTTGAATCACGTTTATCTGACCTATAAACTTTTGTCTTTTATTTAAAAGGTTAACAAGCCGATGACTATTTGTGATTAAAAAAAAAAAAACAATCTATGATGAAACGAATGAATTTTTGAACGAAATTTCTTACTTTGGTTTGAACTCCATTTATAAAATCTGCTCGATATTAAATAATCTGTGATTTTGAATAAAAAATAAAGTATGATCGAATTTATCAGACTCTTTCGATATTAATTAATCTGTCAATTTAAATTAAATATTCAGCGTTGAGTTAATTAAATTACGACGGCTGCGGAATAGTATACTTATCGTAACAAAAATACAAAATGAAAAGAACATTTTGTCACGTAACGATGGAAAAATTGAAATTCTCCGATACGAGTGCAATAAATTTTTCCCGCCATCAGCATTTAGTTACTTTTCTTTCTTTTTTTTTTTGACAAAATATTCCATTGAGATCCCTCTAAGAGCTAAGACTAACTGGATAGCACCCAGGGTCAAAGCACTCGTCGAACGTATAGTACTTTTCCATCGGCGAACCGGGGTCGTTGACAATGCTTCAAACGTTTCAGCTAGACCAGTCGACCAGTCGACCGCGTCAATTGACATTTATTAATTATAATAGAAACCACAGCTCCCCTCTCAAACGTCTTTTCCTTTAGAAACCAATCGGCGATGGCCGCGAGTCGATAATGTTTTAATTGTTCTGACCATCGAACCAGACTTTTAAACGTCACGAAACTTACGCAAAATGTGTTTTACATTGCAAATAGATATCGCAGTTTCAACGTCTGCACTGTACTTTGCAACGTTCGTACAACATTTTTTTTGTTTTCATCGTGGAAGTATGAAATGTCGATTGTAATGCATGTATATAACACATTACCTACGTACTAATCGAACGATTATGGTATTTGCATAGATACGCACGTATTTCGAAATGGAGTGAAAGGACACTCGAAAGTGCATTGTGAATGTGTAACAGAATATTTATTTGTCAAGTTGAGCAGACTAGTCAGATTTCTTTGGTCAGAATTTTGCAAGCAAAGACAAAGCAATTAATTCGTAAAATTTCATGATGGAACAAAAATCTTTGTATTTTATCACAAGTTAACAAAAATTGTACTAATTCATTTAATATATGAATAAAACATACACATGTTTTTTTTTAAATCATTAAATTCTAACTATTTAATGATTTAATAATTTAATTTAAAAAAGAAATCTTTCAATATTAAATTTCTAATTCTTGTATCATAGTAATGTATTATAGTAATAGTCAAGTCATTTTAAATTAAAAATTCTTAATCAATGGTAAATCCTTAAAAAAGAATAGGTATCTCTCGATATTAAATTTCTGACTGGCGTACTATACCACAATATACTTAAAAATATTTTGCCAATTCAGTCTATAAGTGAAATGTACAAATACTTCAAATCCTTAATTAATTATAGAAAAGAATTTTAAGTTTCAATAATTTACATTGTAATTAAAATTCTCTCTCAAGAAACATAAATAAATCTCTCGATATATTAAACTTCTTGCCATATCGAATCCAATTCGTTACAGTTTTGCACATATTGTCTATCATTAAATCTTATTGCATACCTACACGTTACATCAGCAACATTTCATCCATTAGTTACACAACCGATCTTTTTCTTGAAGTTCAACAAACGAGGTGGCATTTTTATCGTTACGCAATCAGCGTAAGTTTCATTAAGGTGGCGGAAACTTTCGAAATTTCGCAACGAGATAATGCACGGAGTACTCGAAGAGACGAGGGGAATAAAATCGTTCGAGATGAACCAAAGTGATCTTTAATATCGGAAAAAAAAATATCTGTCTGAAGTTGCTCGAGATCTCCTGATTTCTAGTTTAAACAAAAAATGTGTATTTGCAATTCGAAATTCAAAGTGATGTCTGTAAAAAAAAACAAAAAATAAAACATGTATGCTAAATACCACGTTAAAAATCGTCAAGACAAGATTACATATCTGTCCAATGCGTTTTTCAAGATGAGTTATTACATGATCTCGCAGACATTTCAAAATCACGTGACTTTAGAAAAAGAACGAAGTGATGGATGGATTGGAAATCTTCCCGGATCTATGTACATCGGATGATACTTCACTAACGATCTTTGACACTTTGTCGTTCGCGTGGAAACTGCAGAATGATCGCAGAGCAGTTTGTGAGAAAAAAAAAGGTCATATTTAATTTGAAACTTATTCTACAAGAAAAGAAAATAATTTAGATTAATAGTATGCTTGTAATAAATATAAAAAAATATAGATATATAGATATAATATATGTAGATATTAAAAAAAAAAAAAAAAACATATATGTTAAATACTATGTTAAAAATACCAAGACAACATTAGATATCTGTCCAGTGCATTTTTCAAGATGAATTATTACATACTCATGTACATACGTTTCAAAATCACGTGACTGGAAAATTATACGTGTGACATCTTGTCTTTAAAATTTCCCTTATTATCGTTATTTCTCTTCAGCTATTCAAACAATTAGCCATTATTGTTTAAATAACAATAGTGTAACAATACTTAGATTTCCCTAGGTTTTGGAGTAACACCTTGCATTCGTATATTCTTCCAATGAAATTTTTATAGAACATATCATATAAAATTCATCATAACATATCATATAAAATTCGATTATATCGAGGTACAAAGGTACAAATAGCAGCTCGATTAAGGATTAAGTTGTACAAGACTCTAATCAATTATAATACCTTTTCCTTTTGCAAGTAAACAGAGTTCAATGTATGCACTACAAGTAAATTGAATACCTTCGAACGTATACTGCGATTTTTCAGACCATAAACAGTTTCGAATGAAAGTTTATCATTGTTCAAGTGTGATAATTAAATTTTCAAAAATAGCGAAAGTAAGATCGTTTATTTTTCAAATAGGATCAGATTGCTTTTCTTTCCCCTCCGTTATATCGTGAGTATTCCATTTGAGGAGCTTATAATTTTGTTTCTTTCTTGTCAGACGGCCTGAAAATGACTGAAAAACCGTCGCGTCGCGTTGCCACGACCCTTCAACGAAGATTCTCTGACACGAAGGCAAAACTAAAGCAAAGGCTCGATTCAAGTCAGAATAATTCAGAATTGATGACGAATACCCTTCCATCCAGAGCGAGTAGAGGTTCAGGAATGCGCGCGGTTCTGGGAAAGTCCGGCACGAGGTCCCACCAATCCGTGTCCATTGTCCTCGCCAGTTCTCTACAGGATCCTCGAGTCTCGCGACTCGACAAATCCTCGATGGAAACGGTTGCCAGGAGTTGTGCCGGCTAACAAGCGATCGATACGAAACTCTGCAAGTCTTTAGTTACTGAACGAGCCACGACCTACCATAAGGATCTTAATACTTGCTCCGATGCGTATCACGCACAATTCAGCTGCGCCTTTGATAGAAGGGTGCCAAGCTTTGTTCAACCCCTTAACGATATAATGGTACACTGACATTCACATACAGACTGTATGCCAGACCATTCAATTCTCATTCGTTGTTTCATCAGTTGTTCATCTTTGTGCATTATTTCACGTATTCTTTTCATTTTTTTGTTAACATTGTTCAGTCAAAATTCTTTGTTTGTTAGACGTACATACGAGAGAAGAATTCAACATCTTTTTTCACATGTTTCTGTACTTGGCTCTTTGCTAAAATTTTCCAAATTTCACATTTATTTTGATATGTAAAAGAAAATATAAAGTTGCGACTCTGTATGATGAAAATTTTCATTTTCTTAGACACGTTACACTCCCCTTTCGTGCCTTGCATACGTATTTTTGAGAACGTAATTGATTAATAAAAGATAAGTAAATAAACGATAAAACCTCGATGGAAAATTGTTTCACCCGCTATACTTTGAATATATTTTTGCAGTTTCAAAGATCAGCAGATATATATAATATTAATAATTATTAATTACGAACAAACAATCAGTGGTCAATTAAATTAAACATTAAACAAAATTCTCTCTCACAAATTATCGTAGGGGAGTTCAAAAATTCGTGGCAAACAATTCGTGAGGCAGTTGTATTTATTATTATCCCCTATCTTCTATCAGCTGATTCATGAATGTTTGATCGAGTGCTCGCGTGATTTTTGCATAATAACAAGGGAGGGGGGGGGGGAGAAATAGAGGAATGACGACTGTCGACGAATCGTGTTTTTCAGCTCATTAAAAATTCAGTTCATTCGAGTTCATCGCGAGTAAATGAAAAGGAGAATTTATTTTAAATAAGAGACTGTGATTAAAGACGATTAATTGTAAGAATTAAGGGATTTTATTAATAGACCTAACAGATCATTCTGTCGATGATAGCTACTGAGATTCTCTTTAAATACAAAAGAATGCTTGAGCTAATAAATTCACCGCCACGCGAAATTTATACGCTTTGTCTATAAAACGAAATATTTAATTTTTTCATAATAAAATGTACACTTTTCATTTTCATAGTTATGCGATTTTATAGCTTTCATCTGGTTACGCGTGTTATTTCAAACATTTTTAATCGACGATTTAATCGTTTTAAAATATTCAGAAATATAGAACCACTGATCATCGATGACCATTCTGGCACGTGTTAATATGTAATACATTATGCAGTAAAGGCATTAGCATTCAGAATGATAATACATGTAAATTTCTATATACCCTGGATTTCAATGTACATGTGCATTTAGGTTTTGAATATTTTAATTCTCAAGCCTTCAAAATAAACGAACATTTTTTTAAATAATTTCCCTTGAAAATACAACTCCAGATGTAAAAATTTTTATTTTATTTCAGATACTTTCTAAAAACCATTTTGTATTCCTTCTTTAAATTTTTTTCTAAACTTCTTTCTTGCTATATTTCTCCAGAGAAAATTTCTCTAAAGACTTTGCAAAAATTTTCTCCTGCTAAAAAAAAAAAAAAACGACGCACTCTGTTTGTACTAGTATTTACAATATCTCATTCTTAATACTGTATAATGTTACGTAACTTTAAGTTTTATCTCAATTTTCGTAATTCTTATCTTTTTCTTTATCATGGTGCTATTATTCTGTTCTAAATGAGAAATTAGAATAGAATAACAGTGAAATGAGTAACAAATAAAAGAACGTTAATCTCGATATAATTTATCTATTTCTAGTAGAATCATTTGTTTTTTTTTGTTTTTTTTTTTTAATGACTCAATTGTCCATCCATTTTTCATTCTAACGTTAAATGCTAAAACAGTCGTTTATGACTCGTTGGTTTTATAACAAATGTTCCAACAAATTTCATCATTTTTCAAATACGAAAGAAGCTTGTTAATTGAGTTAAATTTCAATGAAGAAAAGGAAGAAAATCGATCGCGATTGACCATTCTTCTTTACGATCTCATATTAAGCAAGTCTTTGTTGATAAGTGTATCAGAAGCTATTATTATCGTAACGATCGGCGTCGATAATTTAAGTAAGTCGTGGAAAAGAACGGGCTTTCGAAAGTGATAGAAAAAGTGATATCGCAAGTCTGAAACTTTCGTAGAAAGATACGTTATTTCTTTTTTAATCGTGTTAGCTTTTAAAGACGGCTGCTAACCGCGAAATTCCAAGTAAATTTCGTAATCGCGATCGGACATTTCTACGTGGAACATTTGGACGTCCACTTTGCACAGTCATTCAGAAACTTATTTTAGTCTGGACAATGCCACTACAAATCACGTGTTTCAAAGCTGAGAAATTCGCTGAAATTCATTCCGCTTGCAATTTTCTGAGATTGCAATAGTCGCGTAATATTTGCCTACATTTTTTCCTCAGTGTTTGGATTTCAAGAAAATATAAATTTTCAGATATAAAAATATATCCAATTTAAGTGATCTAATTTAAATAATATTTTCTTCACTTGTAACAATCAATTTAATTTGTCATGTAATGATGCAACATCCAAATATTTATTAACATTTGCTTCGTGAAAAACAACTAAACATCTAAATTATTTTCTTTTCTATTCGTCAATTCGTACGATTTTGATTTTAATTTTAGCCGATTTTATTTGAAAAGGAGGTCTAGATTAATTTAAATGAACCATCTCTGTAGAAACATCATCGTCCATAAAAAAAGAATGTGAGGAAGATAACAGTGCTTTATCATTTACGTAAAAACTGTCTGTTTCATCATCCTCAGGTTGTCATACCACCACTTGTTCCGCTTCTTAATAAACGTGCCGTGAAAGTAAATTTCGTGGAATCGCAACGACTACGTGACCTTTTGGACGTAATCGAATAATTATCCTTCTAACGAATAATCATCCACGTATCTCATATTTTCATTCTGTTTGTAGAAAATTATTACCAAGTAACATTTTCCATAATATTAGTCATAATTAAAAATATTGTATAATTATATTTCCAATTTTTGTACTGACACATTAAATAATAAATGAATAAAATATTAGAATGGCGATATACACGTAAGAATCTACATGAGTCATTTAGAGTACGGAGAAGATAGGATACTGAACAGTAAATCTTTTCATTTATAAATTACTATACAGCTCAAGCACATATCGTACAAACTAAATTAAAAGATCTTTGATTCGCAAGTAGCCATTAGAATTACGCATGCGCCACATAAAACAACAAACGAGTTTTCATCGCTATAGAATAAAAGTAACACTGAAAGATACAAATTTCGCGCCAATAAAGCAACTGCGAAACGCAGACTATTTCGAGTTTTTAGGTCGATAGAAGTGCAAATACCTTGGATACCACGACAGTAAACAATAACAGATAGAAAACGACTGAAAGCCATAGTTTTTCCTTATTTTTGTAATTGTCATGAAATTGTCTAATACGTAAACAGTAGATTTTAATTGAAATTCATATTTTTGTAGACGCAACTTAATTACAGATTTCTTTCGTGTATTAAAACCTATAAGTAGCCTACTTCTCTATAGCTTCTCTATATCTGAAAATTTATATAAAATCTATATTATTCTGTATATTAGTGTATGTTTTTAAATTTCACACAAATGCATAGAAATCGTTCTAGTTTAGAGATGCGATATATGTTTTTTCGAAACGAAGTGAAAAGCACGAAGCACGTCGGTGTGAGACGTCAAACTGTCAGGGATCCTACCGGCATGGTATACCGCCGTTATTATTACACGTTGAAAATTGAAACACGTAACAACTTACCTTGTTCAGTTGGGGATTTTTCAGATGGTCAAGACCACGTAACAAGTTGGAAGGCACGACATCGCCATGTCCCCGCTGGCCGAGTTGATCCCTTTGAAGACTCGACATCGTTAAAGATTTAGTGTCACTGACTAAATGAGTAGTGCCTTGGAGCCTACAAACAACGAGCGAAGTTTAAGGCTACTTGAGGATGAATGTCGGTAGGGTAGAACGCAGTGGCATTACAGCGAGGTGAGGTTAGGGTGCGGGGAACAAATCTCAGTCACGTATCAATCACATGACTCCATCAGATCGCACTTTTTTTCATCTCGAGATTGCTCTCGCAATTCATTTAGATTACTTTATCGATTAAGAAATGTGAAAGAGAAAATGATAATTTGTTGATCGAAAGTTCATCGTCTGGTTGAACTATCGATATATAGCACAGTAAAATTTTTCTTTTTCTGGTGGATTTTTATTAATGTAGATGTCGCTTTTAAATTTTTGATCATAGTTACTATTTTCAGTGTATGATCGTATTTGTTTTGTTCAAATTTTGTTCTGTTAACAGTGAGTTAAGTTCGGAATAGAGTAAGTGTAAATGAGACGGGCGCAAGACGTGCTTGCTACGTCACTGAATATATAACTAGCGCAGGCGCATGAATCGCGCAGTCGCGCGACTTCGCCCATCGAACGAAAATTGTTCGAATTTTATTGCCTGGCCATGAATTGCATCATACATATCGAACAAAAAAATTGTACTATCTACTCTGTATCTCACGCAGACTATAATAATAATAATAATTATAATTATAAGAAATAATTAACATGCATGAACAACAATCTAACCGAAATTACAAAAATATCAATGATACAGTTTCCGCTTGAAACGAAAAAAGGAATGACAATAAATGCCACGCTAAATACCATTACATTTCTTTGACTTATAACGAAATAGTTCACCACTATTGCGCACCATGAAATGATTCATGTTCACAGAAGCATGACACAATTGTACAAAACCTCTGAACCATTACAGTTTTAATGATTAGAAACACTTTGTTCACTAATGTATAATTCTTTATACTAACGTAAGCAATATAAAAACTATTAACTATTTAAACTATAACACAATTATAACGCAGTAGAAGCAAAAATTCCTGATTTTTGTTTTTAGTATCAAGACACATTTGAAAATGCAGTTTTACCTGAAAATGCGTTTTACCTTCAGCTGATCGTGTTTGCTCTCTGGTTCAAGGTCCCTGGTCTCATAATGTAAGTTACACGACCGATGAAAAAATGTGGCAAACCGACACTCTAACTGCTTGAAAAAATGTTTCGAGGACATGCTCGCGATTTCCGTATAAATTGCTTCGTATTCGATCAAACATCCCTCGATGAACTATTGTATCTATTACTAATTATAAGATTGAGGTTAAACCGCGCGACTACTCGTATGACCATCGCGTCATACTGATAACTTAATGGTATACCCGCACGTGATCGTCAGCGTGTATCGAAAATGTAAAAGTTTTATTTCTGTTTTATTTCTCAAAAAATTGCTATTCGTTTGAATCTATTTACGATTAAGAAATCCTGAATGTACGATCGTTTATTAATATTTCGAAAACGAAAAGAAGTATTTTCTACCGTACTAACGATTGCAGACGGATCCATTTATTTTAATATTAAAAAATGTTAGCATATTGTCTTTTGTGCTTTATAAAGTTTTATACTTTTATTAAAGATAACATTTTTAGAGAATTTGTTATGTATTGTAAATTTATAAATTTTAAATAATATTATATACATATTTGTTAGGAATGTTGCAAATAGACATTAATAATATACTTATTAAACTGTTCACATTTGAAATATAAATTCAAACTCAAAAATTTTATCTTGTACGGAAAGAAATAAAAGATTGTTATTTATAAATTTAACAAAAATCGTTATATTTATAAATTCTATTATAAATTCTTTCATAGACGAAAAATTTTCTCACTGAAAAAGATACGACACGATTACAGAAAGAGAAACACTATTTTTTTATTAGATTTGACGACACATGAATCTGTTTTATTCCGTCGCGCGAGCAATATAATTGCTCATATATTCTGATAAGAAAAAATTAGTAAAATCGCGTGATAAAAGAAAAAGATGCACATGTCACAATAAAAATAAAGCGTGATCAGCGAACGATTATACATGAATCACGCGGCAAATTATAAAATGAACTGAATAACATTGTGACACATCAATGTTTTTAAAGGATTATCATTTCACGAATTTAACTGCTATCTTTTATTTACTTACGAAATAAAAACACAAGACTGTTTTAGATTACTTTTCATTTTGACGATTCTTTTTGGTATTCAAACTTTCGCGTTCCGTTGTGATATACGATGCAAGTAAATAAGTCAATAAATAAAAATTGTCGATTTAGCAATCGCAATTATTGCAATATCTCTCATAAAACATTCAATGAAAACAAAGTGCAATCACGCTCTTCATATCTTTGTTCTTCTCGAATATCGGCTAATGGAATATTTTTATGTAGCGTCATTGTGTAGTCTATCGAACAGTGACTATTGAAAACGTGAATTCTTATATGTATTTGTTTATACAAGTGAAACAAATACAACTACGTTTACGTCTACGTTTTAACATCGTAATTAAATATGCGTGTACCAACTCGATTCTTTTCACGCCTGGCGAATGACATTTCTGCGACTTGAAATATATCTTGTGAAAAAAAAAAAAAAAAAAAAAAACAAGAAACCATTGTGCATCTGCAGACGCCTAATGTAATCGAATGTCTTGTCTCAATGTTCGAAATTTCGAAAATAGAACATCGTGACTCACATTTTGCAGCTACGTACTCCAGTACGCATATCCTTCGAATGCTGGATTCCCATTGGTGATTCGAGTTTTACGACGAAATTTAACAAGAACAGCTGATCATATTGTAGTGGGAAATGATGAAACAATAAACACTCTTACTGTCTGTTTCTTTCACGTAGAAAATGAATGATCTAGAAAACTGAAGATCCTGTTTGATTGTTTGTGAAATCGATCCCACCAAGCACAGGTAGATTGCGACTGACGTTCGCGCAACTAACCAAAGTAATAACTAGTGCGCATACTCGCCTGTTGCAACTTCGTCATCGTAGAACTTAGGTCTTAAGACCGACGTTTTTTCCAAAAGTGATTCAAAGGAGAGATTATTGAATTATTACTTTCTACATTCTATGAATGATATAATGCTTAGACAATTTGATAGACATTTATAGAAATTCACATCATACGACGTGACATCATCTATGATAAAAGAACGATAACATGCTTTTATAATTCGTACAGTTAAATAGAGAAACTTAAAATTCATATTGTTCATAGTTGTAGTTAGATGGAAGGTATAAACATTCACTTGATTCGTTCTTTTTATGATTATTTGTTGCCATTGATAATGTTTCAAATATTTGCATGTAGCAGTGCGAGAAGCGATAAAATTATAATTATACGTCTGCAATTCCACTTTTCATCAGGAATAAGAAGTACGAAGTCTGTACTTTGCATGCTGCGGAATATTGTGTAATATGTACATTAAATTCGATCACATATTTGAATCCTATTGACAAAGCGAAGATTTTTTTATGTATATAGTCGTGTATCAATTCTAAAATGCTTATAGTTAACATAAACACGAAGAAATTAATATAAGAGAAAAGAGAAATAAAGAAATTAATATCTAAAGTAATAAGAAATATTATAACCTTTGCATAAAGATAATGCATCGCTTGTTAATGATACATTTAATGATGCCAGGGTCTTCTATTACGGTTTATCAATTATAAATTTTCTATCACACGCAAGAGTAAAGGTGAGAAATCAGAATGTGGAAAAAATTATAGTTAATCTCATATGATATAATGGTATGATCTTAGTTTTACGTAAAAAAAATTTCTGGATTATCATTAGATGTGAACTATAAAGTACGTATAAACACATTATCAGGCTTTTTTATTTTATAATCTTCTATGCAAAGATATATATATATATGATATGAATATCAAAGGAATAGTAAAACATTAAATCAAGATGATACGATGGTTTGAATTATTTTTATATCAATTGCTTGTGTACCCACCTCAACAAATTTTCGTCGATGTCCCTGAGATCTGCAATGTTTGGGCATCTTGATCTATAATCAAATAAATTAAAGAAAATTTATGATATTTCAACATAATTAATTAACCTACTTAAAGCATTCCATCCTTATTAGTTTTTTTAATGCCAATGTCTCAAATTTGACATAATACGTACGTGTGTACATATATCGATCATAATTTCATTTGTTTTTTAATATTGGAAAAATAATTCTTTTATTTTTCTAATGAATTTTTAGATATTTAAATACGTTTATAATTACTATCTATTTCGTTATCAAATACGTGTAGGCAAGTGGCCAGATTTTTATTTTAGGATGCGAAAAATTTAGAACATTAATTGTGGAGGAAATATAACTATAATAGTAATGCATGGATAAGTATTCAAGAAAGTCTATGTATAGAAAGTCTATCAAGTTTCTACTTTGATTGTTAAACATTACTCTCATTCCTTATACTTCATTTCACCATTATTTGTTTATTTAATCATTTTTCTCTAGAAATATTTGAAATACATATGTATATTTATGTTTTATTTGACCCAATTTTCTTTCTTTCATCAACCTTGTATTTACAAATAAAGATTCATACATGTATTCGTATAATAATATTATCATTTGCTAACTGTGTGAAAGTAAACCATGCGAAGTATACTTTCACCATCACATGGAATAATTACTTATTAACCGCGCAATCAGTAGAGTGAAAGTTGAAACTCTTTGCAAAATACAATTCCCCTTTTATTTAGCAATATAAAATAAAATATTATATACATTTATTAATTATTGTAGTTTTTCTATTAATAGAATTTCAGATATATTTATATGCACAGTGAAAAATATCGTTTAAAAATAAATCGTGTAAAACTTATAAAGTTTAACCTTACTCACGTGAAAAATATGAATATATATAGATTATGAAAACATTTATGTCTTCGCTAAATGGGATTTGTATTGATACGTAATTGTTGTTTAACAAATGTAATAAAATAGAAATTAAATTAGAAATCAAATCCAACGAGTACCGAAAAAACTGATCAATTAGGTCACAGTTCAAAGTGCTAAATGTTAGTTACGATATTTATCATTCAGAAATTTCCATCCAGTTTTAATTTTAGGAATAAGATTTTAAAATTTAAATACGGATATTAATTATTAATTATTTCTACGCTTTGATAAGATGTTACTTTGAGTATTATAAGTATTATATTCAATTAATATTTTATGTAGATTGTTTAAAAAGTAATATTTTACATGAATAATTAATTAGAATCAATTTTTAATAATTTTAAGTAAATATTAATATTATCTAATTAAATTTCCCTTATAATTATTGTATTAAAACTTAAATGTTATATGGCTCGTTGGTCTAGGGGTATGATTCTCGCTTCGGGTGCGAGAGGTCCCGGGTTCAAATCCCGGACGAGCCCGCAGTTTTCATTTTGTTTCTTTGTCCCTTTATTTTTTAGTATTTTTAATACTGTTCTTATCATATAATAATTTAAGTAAAAAGTTTTCTATTTAGAAGGAATTATTCATCTAATAGCAATAAAATATCGGAGTTAAAACTAATGCTATAGATTATTCCGTAGAATCATGGACTAACTAGAATCATTGACTAAGAATTTAAAATAGATCGGACATCCAACGCTTTTTTTATCCCATGTTTTAGGGGTCACGTGACCGTAATACCATTTTCGTGTCACACTCTACCATATCGATTTAGGAAGGGGTTAGGTATAGTTCTCCAATTCACCGTTGATTAAACGTATAGTGCGTTAAAAAATTAGTGATTTGATATTCAAACTCAGACAATGAGATAAATCCCATTTAATGTCTAGTCTATTCTATCTTCAGTCAATAGTAGAACTATCACAACGTCAAGCATGGCGCTCGCATGGAATCCATCGAAAAAACACAGCGATCGTGAAAGGTATGTTTATTGAGAGGTACAGATATTTATGCTTAGTATGCTATTTAATTTTGTACAAAAACTTTTAAATAATTAATTTTTTAGTAATTAATGTATTTTATTTATAATATACGTATATAAATACATAACCTCTCTGCTACATAACCTCTTTAACATTAAACTGACAGCAGTGTAATAATCATTTTTATTTGTGGATTTTATTTTGTAGGTGGATTTGTATCTATCCAGTATACCTAAATAGTAAGAGAACTCTAGCAGAAGGTCGAAAACTCCCAAAAGATAAATGTGTAGAAAATCCAACACACCAAGAAATTCGCGATGTTTTGGTAGCAGCTGGTTTCAATGTTGGAGTAGAAAACAAACTACATCCACGAGAACGTAGCAAAGAATTATTGTATCGCGGACGTATTCGCGTACAGCTTAAAAATGACGATGGCACTCCTGTGAAATCTGAATTTCCTACCAGAGATTTAGTTTTGGCCTATATAGGCACAACCATTCCAAAATTAAAAACTCGACAAGGAAAGCAATCGAGTGGTGAACAGTCTTCTCAACCATCAAGTTCATCGACAAAGAAAGGAAAAGGAAAGGGAAGAAGGTGATAAAACGAAATAATAATATTAGAATTTAAAAATGTTTTCCACTTATGTATATTTTTTATGTCAAAATAAGAATTATTCTCTTGTAAAAAAAAGATTGTACTACAATTTGTATAAACTTTTTGAAGATCAGTTTTAAACTGAAGTTATCCATGCATACAAACATTGAATTAATGTTTTCAATTAATATCATATTTGTTATGTTACCTCCAAAACTTTTAGCAAATTATGTATTATTCATCATTATTTTAATCATGATAATCATGTTGAATGTTTGCTTTCATTCACATTTCCATTTTCATTATTGGAGGGATTTGTAAAATCTTCTTGAACATTCGAATCACTACCTTTATAAGTAGAAGGTTGCTGTGGTGAACCCACAACTGGAAAATTTGATGCTGTTTGCTTATTATGAGGTACATAATGCACTATATAGCCATTAGGGGGAGAAGGTAATACAGGAAGATGTGGTTCAATTATGCTTGATAGTGGAACCTATAAATGTAATGTAACAGAATTTTCTCAATTTTGCTAGCTTTTATAACAAGATTTTACGTACATTGTTGAAATTTGTAGGAGCCAATCCTACAATAGGCGATTGTCCAATTGGATACATTAAATTATTCTTAAGATTTTTTTTTGCTTTCCTGTTTTCTATTGCCTGAATGTTATTGGATGACATTAAATTACAAAAATATATGAACTACATTATATTATATACATATTACTTACTTTATTTATACCTCCAAGAAATGATTCGTTCGAATGTAACAATTTGTGGAATTCTGACCTGGCATTCATTATACCATGCATTGGTACACTAGCTGTTTGTATCAAAGTGTTAGGAATATTATGTAACGCATTAATATGTGGATGTAAATTAGGATGCAACAGAGATTGTAATAAATTATTTCCTAGCAAATGTGGTACTTTACTTATTGTATTTAAAGCCGGATGTATAATGGAATTCAATTGTGAAGAAATAGGTAATAAAGGAATGTGTGGTAATGGAGGAATATGTGGTAATACTGGAGGAATATGTGGTGATGCTAGAGGAATATGTGGTAATGCTGGAGTAATATGTGGTAATGCTGGAGGAATATGTGGTAATGCTGGAGGAATATGTGGTAATGTTGGAGGAATATGTGGTAATGCTGGAGGAATATGTGGTAATGCTGGAGGAATATGTGGTAATGCTGGAGGAATATGTGGTAATGCTGGAGGAATATGCACAGCTCCAACAATAAAATCAGATGAAGTTGTATTTGAATTTTGATCATTTATAGGTAAATTATTAGTCTCAATAGTCGGATTATTTGCTTCTTCAGTATTATCATCATCATTATTTTCATCACAGTTTCTTTCTTTTAAAAAATGAGCATGACCTTTTAGAGGCCCTCCTGTGAGAAAATAGTTTGCAACTTGATGAGCATCACCTGAAGGTTGTCAATACATTGATATATGTTAATTATTATTTTATTTTTCTTATTGTAATTTTACCAAGTCTAAGGTGTTGACTAGATCCTTTTACACCACGTGAATTACGATTTTGTTTAATGAAATTATTCAAATCAGTTTCTTTTAATTGCCTTTCAGAACGTATTTTGTAGTCTGTTGTAAACAAATCAATATATCGAATGTAATACTTTTTTTATATATAAAATTTATATCTTTTTCATAGTTTTGTGTTACCTGTATAGTCATGGTATGTATTGGGATAGTTGGACCTTATTGATGTAGATTCTTGTAAATTGTGAAATTTAGCACAAGAAATATCACATTTATACACTGCAGTATAATATAAAATAAAAATTAGTGATGTTAATTTGGAGTGTTTCATGTTACATTTAAAGAATTCACATCAATTTTAATTTCAATCAATGTCTTAAAGCGCAAAATCCGAACTGAAATCTGACGTGATTTAACCCAAAATTTATTGATTTTGCAAGAGAAAATGTGCTGACAGTTTGTGAATAATTCTTTTTATTTGTCATAACAATATTATGCTTACATTAATATGCACGATCGTAAGAATTACATCAGATCTTAAACAATTGAGTAATAAACTTTGTTATATGAAATCATTACCATTTCTTTCTTTAATTCATTAACTTTTGTTACGAGATGTCCATTTTTATTTTGAAGACCTTTATCAAATTATATTTCAAAAGATATAAGAATATATTTAAAAAACTTATAAGCTTTTTAAATATATTATAAAAAACTGCACTAACTTATAAAATGTTTTAATAAATTATAATATTTATAAATATTGATTGATTTATAATAAATTATCAAATATATATATATATTGCGCGATACCGTCTTACAATTAACAGGAAAAGAAAGAAAAAAAAAACCTTTCCTCCGTGACAATGTTTTTCACATTGCCGTGACCAGGATTCGAACCTGGGTTACTACGGCCACAACGTAGGGTCCTAACCACTAGACGATCACGGCTATTGAAGGCTACACTGATCTACTTATTTTTAAATTAAATAAACAACTATTATTGTCTTGTAAATATTAATGTCACTTCTTTATTTTTACGTCTATATACAGATTAATATTAGAATAATTATTAAAATATATTCTAAATTATCAATCATATCCATGTTACGAAATGATAAATCATTCACTTTTAACAGGAAACAATATAACGATGATGTCAAACACTATCTATAATAAAAAAATTTTATAAAATTAGATAGAAATTACTTCGAATATTACTTAGATACAAAAATTTAAAATTAAGAATTACATTAATAAAACTACAGATGTTTTGTTAAATTAAGTATCTTCCATAAATCACATTAAACAGTTCTATCACATTCAGCTTCAACATTATTAACATACATTAGATATTGGATTAGATAATCTCTAAATAAATAGAACATTCAGAAATATAATTAAAAGTTTATTTCTAAAATTTAGTTTACCTCTAAAATAGATGAGTACACGATGAAAGCTCAAATCGTAATGAGCATCCGCATCCTGATATAAAAATGTCAAAATTCAAAAATAATATTCAGTTTTCAAGATGTTCGCCCCAAATATTTTGCAAACTTGAACTCAGCTGGATTTATGGTCCTGGCTTGCCACAGGCTCGAACATGATGTTCTCCTAATACAAAATCTCAAATCTTATGCAGAAAGACATACTTTTTTCAAGAGAAGATTTTGGCGTGCAGCATACTTATGCTATCGTAATATAAAATCTTAACTTTCTGGCACAACGATATTCCAAATTACAAAACAGGATTTTGACGTACGACCTTTTCGGACCTCATGTTCTCCTGACACAAAATCATAAATTTTATCCAGAAAGACACTCTCATTTTCAAGACAGGATTTTGGTATGCCACCTTCTAGAGCATCATGTTCTCCTTTTTTTGGCGTGCCACCTTTTCGGACATCATGTTCTCCTAATACAAAATCTATAATTTTGTGCTTAAAGACATTCTAAATTTGAGGACTGGATTTTGGTGTGCCACCTTCCCGAACATCATGTTCTCCTAATACAAAGTCTTAAATTATGCTTCAAGACATTCTAAATTTCAAGACTGGATTTTAGCCTGCCACATTTTCGGACATCATGGTCTTCTAATACAAAATTTTAAATTTTATGCTTAAAGACATTCTCAATTTGAAGACAGGATTTTAGTCTGCCACCATTTCGGGTATCATGTTCTCCTAATACAAAATCATTAACTTTATTCTTGAAGGCATTCTGAATTTCAGAACAGGATTTTGGTGTGCCACTTTCTCGACCATCATGTTCTTCTAATACAAAGCCCTAAACATTATGCTTAAAGACATTCTCAATTTCAAGACAGGATTCTGGTGTGCCACCTTCTCGAGCATCGTGTACTCCTAATACAAAATCTTAAATTTCATGCATAAAGACATTCTCAATTTCAAGACAGGATTTTAGTGTGCCACATTCTCGAGCATCGTGTACTCCTAATACAAAATCTTAAATTTTATGCATAAAGACATTCTAAATTTGAGGACAGGATTTTAGAGTGACACCTTCTCCAACAGCATGTTCTCCTAATAAAAAATCTTAAATTGTATGCTTAAAGAAATTCTAAATTTGAGGACAGGATTTTAGCGTGACACCTTCT